GAAATGTGTTAAGATAATATCATAATTCTAAACACGAGTTTTCAGGCATATCAAAAAGTTAATCGCTGGAAAATAAAACTTACTTTTAATAATGGAAAAGAAAAACGATTCTTAGTTAACAATACAAAATTATGTTCTTACTTTCACGATTTTAATCTATCGAATGCAGTTCTTGACCTTTTCAATCTTCATGCATAATTCGATAAGATTGCAATAACATTGCATTTAGTATATATTTTACAAATATAAGAGAGCAAAAAGGGGTTAGTATAGATATATTTTGTCTCTCCTCTTCGAAGTAATGGAGGCGTGCTGTTTCCGATGGCGTCGGCGTCAACATTTTATGACCCCACCGTCACCGGAGGTGACATTCAAGTGTTACATGTACCCTTGTACGTACGTACATTTTGTATGTACGTCCCAAAATTGGTTTCCATTCTCTAACGTTAGTTTGCCTCAACTAAATGTAATAAAACTTATACATAATGCTTATTACCACAAAATACAGATCAAGATCGAATTTGAGTGGCGTCACTCTTACCGTTCCAGAGTTACGCCCCTTTATAACGTTATATGCAAGCGGGGTCATCATATGTGTCCATATGGACACATTCTTCATTTAAAAAAAATGTGATAAGGTAATTTTTTTAAAAAGGGGGGACCACTAACGATAAGTCAATGGATATTTGGTATGCATTTGTATTAGCATTTGCCTATTTTTATGGAGATTAAACGGCCTCGCCCCCTATACGATGGTTCTTAGACTGCAAAAGTTTTGCATCGTTTGCAGTTAAAGTTTGTGTGATTAGTATAAAAATAAGGAGATGTGGTATAATTGCTAATGAGACTACTATCCACCAAAGTTCAAATAAAGTGGATGTAAGTAATTATAGACAACCGTACGGCCTTCAATAATGAGAAAAAACCCATACCGTATAGTCGGCTAGGTCAGTTTAAGGACCACCATTACTTCATAATAAATTATAATCATTTTAATTTCAACAATTGCATTTAACTATTAAAATTACATATAGACATGGCAGATGATACATATATCTGTGGGCAACACTTTATCATTCTAGACTGACACTAGGCAGAGCTTTTTTCAGCGGAAGTAGGAAGGTGGTAAATACTGTGCAATATTGATTGGAAACCCAAAATTGATGGGGATATTGAGGATCGTGTCTACTTCTTTATAAGCGTATCATTGGTTTATTGTGTACGTACATCATCTATACGCAATTTCAGTGATATTTTGCCTGCATCATGAATAATTGTCGATGTTTCTTCTTTGTTTGGCGGTATTGTGCCATATTATCGTATTGTTTTCATATGAAAAAGGTATCGCATTTCTATTAGAAAAATATCGCATTTGAATTTTTTTCATAATAAAAGCATATCACTGTTTTATTAAAAAAACATCGCACTCATATAAGAAAATATAGCATTATTATCCTATTACATTTACAAGTGATTATGGCGTAGAATGCAATCGAATAGGTTCAATGGCCATTACATCATTGTCAAAGTATTTGGTCACCTCAAAATTATAGATCATGCAAATAGGTTTTATTTAATGCAAATGCATATTTACTCGTATAAATACAACATACTTGGGATAAAATGTTCAAATTACATGTCACGTTGTGTATACGTTTGTCGTGTTAAATACGTCTATGTTTTAAAAAGAATAAACAAGTACATTTCGATAAGTTTTCTGTTATTCCTACAAATGTCATCTCGTTTACAAAAGAAAATATCGCTACTCCACATCAGAAACGGTTTTCTCGATTCGCACTTTCCATATACTGTATATTGGTATGTATTTTTCCTCATTTGTGGATAGATTTTGGTTGTGTATATATACTTTATATGCTTGGATTGGTAGTGCATGACTGGGTTTAGTGAAGTGACATTAGTTCGAAGAATATTTAATGTAATATACTGAATATAGAATAGAATAGAATAAAATAGAATATTTTTATTTCCCAAATTACAGGGCCCATAAAGGGCATAAAATCAGATACAATTGATTTACATAATTGGTAACAACAACAATAATAGTCACTTGAAAATATATATTTAGTATATTAATATATATATTAAAGGCTTCTACACCAGTAGGCACACTTATCCAATTCATGTGTTGTTTTATTTGTAAAACAAATTATATTCGTTTGAGCTTGGCGAAGTAGAATATAATAAATATCAACAGACAATTAAACATTAATACACATAGACAGGTAATCACGTGCAGCAGCAACATGTCGATTTCCTTAGTTCTATTTGTTCCTATTTTATAGTTTAAACATATGTATATATTAAATGTAAATCGTTTATTAATAATCTGTATAAGACTGATACTTATTTTGCGCATCGAGTCAATCAACGAAATCAGTCTTCCTGTTGCCTTCCCTAGTTTCACTTGGTCAACTGAAATTCTTTTCAATCACTAGACATTCTCAACACATATTAAAGCATGTGCCTCGAGTAGGAAGAGTTTCAATCCCTCAACTCCAAACACCAGGACTCGGGTTTTGAGCATTTTGTTAATCGTTTACATATACAATTATGATTTAAATCTACAACAAAACCTTTGTAAAACATTTGCACCAATGAAACTATACAGAGGAGAATGTAATAACGAAAGCTGTAACCATGGTTGGTGGGGAAAGAAAGATAACTCATCCTAAAAAAAATTGAACAATTCTGTCCATAAAAATATGTTTTAAAAAGTATGTTAATTTACTTTTAATTTTGTACCTGGCCCGAGTCAGAATATCATAACGTTCTTCGTTGATGTTTTATTGTGTTTATTTTAAGGATTTTGGGGGTTAGTGTTAGTGTTTGGTTCGGTCTTTTGTATTGTCTTCTTTTTTAATTCCTGTATAATAGTATAATGGGCCTCGGTGGCCGAGTGGTCTAAGTAGTCGAACTACTGTTTTACTAGCCTGTCAATACTGAGGTTGTGAGTTCCAATTCGGTACGTTGCAGGTGCGTTCGGCTCCAATCTTAATTGACGAGGAGTGTCAGTTGTCCTACTGAAGGTCGTTGGTTCTCTCCGGGCACTCCGGCTTCCTCGACCAATAAAAACTGACCGCCACGAAATAGCGCAATAGTGCTGAAATAGGCATTAAAACACCAATCAATTAATTATACAAAAGATTCTTTTTTTTTCAAAAGTCTTTTTTGAAAAAAACATATAACACCGAAACATGAACACATTATTTTATTTTCTTGCATTGTTTATAAATATTATAATGACTGCTGCAACAAAGTTTTAAATTCATTAATGACCAATGTTTTAAAAAATATTGAAAAAAAGACTTTCAACTCATCTTTAGCTTAACTTTATCTATGTGGACAACTTTTCCTTCAGTATTACCGATATAAATTTAAAGTAGGGAAAAGATCAAATAAAAAGAATTAAATTCTGGAAAATTAAGTCATACAATATATTAACATTATTCACATCTAAAGGATGTTGTATTTGTTGAGATAGACAAACAATTGCAAATTTCCATTTATGTGAAAAATAGAAGAAATTACATTTTGTAAGACTGTCAGTATTCGAGTTTGTCATCCATAGGGTAGCAAGTACATCTGAACATGCATGATAGATTTTGATTGTAAATTTCACTCCATATATACATTTTTTTAATTCAATTCATATTTAAAACTAATATAAAATTTTTAATGCAACTTTACATTGGAAAATTCTATATGTTTTGTTAAAGAGGGTCTGGAAAAATTTACAGTTATCTAATAATAATTGACCCCCCAAAAAAAAAAGAATAAAGAAAAATAGGCAAAAAAAAAAAAAATAGAAAATAAAGAATAGAGAATTAGAGAATGTAATAGGGAGCTCAAAAACAAGAATAGAAAATAATGGGAAAGAAAATAGAAAAATAAAGAAATGAAGAATCCTTGTTGATGGATCTTTAAGTTATGATTCACTACAGAGATTTTATTATTTGACTTCCAAAACTTTTAATAATTTATAATTTAAACGTACACGTTTATAGTTTGTTCTCATGTTGTACTGTTACACCACTGTCCCAGGTTAGGGGAGGGTTTGGCGCCTTTAAACTAGTTTAACCCCGCCACATTCTGTATGTGCCTGTCCCAAGTCAGGAGCCTCTAATTCAGTGGTTGTCGTTTGTTGCTTTATATGATATTTATTTTTCGTTCATTTTTTTTGTACATAAATCAGGCCGTTAGTTTTCTCAGTTGAATTGTTTTACATTTGTCATTTCGGGGTCTTTTATACCTGAATATGCGGTATGGGTTTTGCTCATTGTTGAAGGCCGTACTATGACCTATTATTGTAAACTTCTATGTCATTTAGTCTCTGGTGGAGAGTTGTCTCATTGGAAATCATACCACATCTTCTTATTTTTATATGAAAACCATTCTACAAAGACTTGTGGGTATTATACGTTTCCATTAAGGACAAGAGAACTGTTTATGAAACATATTTACGATTGATTGATATATAGCTTCTCAACGTCCATTGACAAATATTACATGCGTATTCAGGGCTATAACATGGCATTATAATATAAACAATAAACCATCTTTATGGAAGGCTGATTTTAAATTTGATACCTTAAAAAGGGATATTTCGCAGCAAGATATCACACACATAAACAAACTCACAATCATAGTAAGTCACACTAAATCCATGACTCTCATATGTCGCGTAGCGGAAAACCGCAAATACAAATTTTAAAGTCTTCGGCAAATAGTTAAGAATGGTTTTTGTTGTTCAAAGTTGCGTTGAAATATGTTTGTGATCTTCAAAACAAAACACCTGCATATTCATCACTTTACAATACATTGTACATATTTCAACCCATTTTGTCAATTTACACTTGATTAAACTTTAAATACAAAAGGTGTCGAATTTTGAATTATGATTTAAAATGATGATTAAAATAAAAGGTTTAAATAACAAATAAGTGTCAATATAACTCTGTACCATTGTTTTACATGAATTATTTGCCAGACGATTTGTATTCATGGCTGTTGCACATATTTTAAATGTTTGAACATGAAACATTCGTAAGGTATGTCTTTAATAAGGAAAAATAGTAGAATTTGTGAAATTTGTACACAAAGTAAGGGAACTGATTTCTGTAATGATTGTGAGCAAGTTTTTTGCCAGAACTGCAAATTATTACACATAAGGACAAAATCTAACCGTTTTCACACCTTCAGGAATGTAGACTTTTTCCATAAAGAAATGGAATTCCCTATCTGTACACAACACAACGAGGAATTTGTATACTTTTGCGAAAAGTGCGATGAACCTACATGCAAAGTATGTATTTTTACTCTGCACAAAGGACACAACATGTCCGACTTATTAGAAACCGTTACTAAGAAGAAAAAGGAATTATCATCTACATGGGAAGTGTACCTCCGAAAACTTGAAGGGGCGCGGAAAAGTGTCGATAATATGGAGAACAGTCTACATACCTATAGACAGAAAGTTTACAAAACAATTAAAGAAATAGAGAGCGAAGGGGAAAAACTACGGAACATAATTGACAAAACGGTTTCCGATATGGCTAAAGAACTCCGTGAGAAAGAAGCAGAAGAAATGAAAAGAGTCACTCAGGTGATCAATGGATTAAAATCGCAATTAGAAAGAGGAATTCAGTTAGAAAGACATATTAATAAAGCACTGAAGTTAAAGGACGACACGTCGATGTTAATCTCTCTTAAGAAATTTCAGGAAGACATGGCGTCATATATTCCGGAAGTTATCTTGCCATGTGAATTTTCATATTTGAAGGGAAATTCTGGATCTGCGCATGTGCACTCAATGTTGGGCAGAATTTTCTTTGAGAATGATAAATCTGGACGGGAAACTCCGTTGGAGGCAAAAGATGATTTTAAACGAAATGCAAGAAAGTACGAACTTTGGGCGTGTCCCCTGTGTAACACTGAAAGATACATCGACAGGATGGATGAAAGCGAACGTTCATTTAAGACTCCAAGATGTTGCTATGGATTTATGCAGTCACGTGGAATTGCTTACAAATAGTATCAGAGTTATTTGTTACGTTTGCATGCAGTATGTGTAGTTATATTATGTAGTGTGTTGTTAAAGCTTGGGAATGGGGTATCATTTCAATAAAGTTGAGTTAATGTTTTTGATTTTTATATTTTTTATATAATTTTGTATGTTGTATTGAATTGATTTGTTTTGGAACAACAGCTTTTTTTACCGGTTATTTTGGATACGTAATTGGCCATAGCAAACCTATAGAAATATAAAGAAAAAAGAAATTAGAACTACATGCATCGGTAAAACTTTATTTTCAAGATCAACTTCCCTTTTTTCATTATCAAATCTCTGCACACGACATATGGTTATGGAATATCCTTTTTCAGGTACACTTACAAGTTACAACCAAAGAATAACATTGATAGCATGTCTCATTAGAAAGCGTACTTTTGATTGGCTGATAACAATTGCGAGGCATTAAAAAATATATTTTATTTCTATAAATTGTAACATTTATGACTACACATGACAACTCACAACAATGTATCGGAAAACTAACGAAAAGCTTTACATAACTCCGATTTATAACCATTCGATGCGCCTAACTTCATTTCTATTTAAGCTGAGTGGTGGGTTCTTGTTGGTCAATCTTTAGTTATGTTTGTGTGAAGTTTTGTGAACTGTTCTTTGTCGGTGTGTTCTGTCTTGTTTTGAATTGTAGGTTTCTGGTGTCCCTTTGTTTTTTACGTACCGATTTAAGGTGCACTGGATCAGGTGATACGTGATATAGATAATCAATTCTATGACGAATAATAGGAGCCATAAGATCTTTTTTTATCAGTAACATAAGTAGCGGAGTTAAAGATACGTATAGTATTTTATTTATTATAGAAATACGTAAACAATACCACCATGTTAACATTTTAACTTTAAAAATATTTATATTAAGAAACTTTATTGTAAATTATAAAAACAGCTTTTCAAAGAATTATTTTTACCGTATATACACCGATACGGTCAAATTAACGTAGTTTTGTCCGCTTAACCGATCAGGCCAATTTACGTAGAACACTGCGTTTACTATACTGGTAGGGTCAAATTTACGTAGACCTCTTAGACTACGTCTGGTACACTGATCAGGTCAAATTTACGTAGAACTCTGCGTTTACTATACTGGTAGGGTCAAATTTACGTAGACCTCTTAGACTACGTCTGGTACACTGATCAAGTCAAATTTACGTAGACCTCTTAGACTACGTCTTGTACACTGATCAGGTCAAATTTACGTAGACCTCTTAGACTACGTCTGGTACACTGATCAGATCAAATTTACGTATGGCTCTACGTTTGCTACATTGATTAGGTAAAAATCAAGTAGAGCTCTGCGTCTGCTATACTGATAGGGTCAAATTTACGTAGAGCTATATGTCTGCTACATCTGTCAGGTAAAATTTACGCAGAACTCTACGTCTGCTAAACTGACAAAGGTGTGTAGAGTTCTGCGTCTGCTACACCGATTAGGTCACGTAGAACTCTGCTTCTGCTACATCGATCAGGTCGTGTAGAGCTCTGCGTCTGCTACACCGATTAGGTCACGTAGAACTCTGCTTCTGCTACATCGATCAGGTCGTGTAGAGCTCTGCGTCTGCTACACCGATTAGGTCACGTAGAACTCTGCTTCTGCTACATCGATCAGGTCGTGTAGAGCTCTGCGTCTCCTACACCGATTAGGTCACGTAGAACTCTGCTTCTGCTACATCGATCAGGTCGTGTAGAGCTCTGCGTCTGCTACATCGATTAGGTCACGTAGAACTCTGCGTCTCCTACACCGATTAGGTCACGTAGAACTCTGCTTCTGCTACATCGATCAGGTCGTGTAGAGCTCTGCGTCTGCTACATCGATTAGGTCACGTAGAACTCTGCTTCTGCTACATCGATCAGGTCGTGTAGAGCTCTGCGTCTGCTACATCGATTAGGTCACGTAGAACTCTGCTTCTGCTACATCGATCAGGTCGTGTAGAGTTCTGCGTCTGCTACATCGATTAGGTCACGTAGAACTCTGCTTCTGCTACATCGATCAGGTCGTGTAGAGTTCTGCGTCTGCTACATCGATTAGGTCACGTAGAACTCTGCTTCTGCTACATCGATCAGGTCGTGTAGAGCTCTGCGTCTGCTACACCGATTAGGTCACGTAGAACTCTGCTTCTGCTACATCGATCAGGTCGTGTAGAGTTCTGCGTCTGCTACATCGATTAGGTCACGTAGAACTCTGCTTCTGCTACATTGATCAGGTCGTGTAGAGCTCTGCGTCTGCTACACCGATTAGGTCACGTAGAACTCTGCTTCTGCTACATCGATCAGGTCGTGTAGAGCTCTGCGTCTGCTACATCGATTAGGTCACGTAGAACTCTGCTTCTGCTACATCGATCAGGTCGTGTAGAGCTCTGCGTCTGCTACACCGATTAGGTCACGTAGAACTCTGCCTCTGCTACATCGATCAGGTCGTGTAGAGCTCTGCGTCTGCTACACCGATTAGGTCACGTAGAATTCTGCTTCTGCTACATCGATCAGGTCGTGTAGAGCTCTGCGTCTCCTACACCGATTAGGTCACGTAGAACTCTGCTTCTGCTACATCGATCAGGTCGTGTAGAGCTCTGCGTCTGCTACATCGATTAGGTCACGTAGAACTCTGCGTCTCCTACACGGATTAGGTCACGTAGAACTCTGCTTCTGCTACATCGATCAGGTCGTGTAGAGTTCTGCGTCTGCTACATCGATTAGGTCACGTAGAACTCTGCTTCTGCTACATCGATCAGGTCGTGTAGAGCTCTGCGTCTGCTACATCGATTAGGTCACGTAGAACTCTGCTTCTGCTACATCGATCAGGTCGTGTAGAGTTCTGCGTCTGCTACATCGATTAGGTCACGTAGAACTCTGCTTCTGCTACATCGATCAGGTCGTGTAGAGTTCTGCGTCTGCTACATCGATTAGGTCACGTAGAACTCTGCTTCTGCTACATCGATCAGGTCGTGTAGAGCTCTGCGTCTACTACACCGATTAGGTCACGTAGAACTCTGCTTCTGCTACATCGATCAGGTCGTGTAGAGTTCTGCGTCTGCTACATCGATTAGGTCACGTAGAACTCTGCGTCTGCTACATCGATCAGGTCACGTAGAACTCTGCTTCTGCTATACTGATTAGGTTAAATTTACGTCGATCTATTTCTGCTACTCCGATCAGGTCACGTAGAGCTCTGCTTCTACTAAAACGACCAGAAGAGAGTCACATCAGCTACACTAATAAGATCAAATTTACGTAGCAACGTCTGCAGCACCAACGCGGGCAAATTAACGTTGCTGTGTCCCCTTCACCGGTGAAATCCAATTTACGTCACTACAGATCAAATCAAAACCGCTACATCAATTAGTTGAGATAATATACGCTTTTTTATTAATACGTATTATATATATATAATTATAATTGTTTGGGAACTTGAAATTTTACTTTATAAGATAAAAAGTTGATACGTATCCTTTGACCGGTGTATAAATATGATATTTTGAACCCCACGGAAAATTGAACTCCATGAAAAATTGACCCCCGCCCCTGTTTATTCATTCAAGATATCAATTGATACAAACTATGATGATGTAAGCATTGTACATTCAAATTTTGATATCTGATGTGATGGGAAAGGGGGGGGGGTCAATTTTCCATGGTCCGAAGTTCAAAATACCATGGCTAGAGCTACGAAAAAATATTAAAACATATCTTTTCTAACAGGTTTTATTCATACCAACTAATTATTAAAACAGTATTGAAATATAGAGTTGTTTGAATAGCTACGGCAATTTGGAATCTGTGGTTATCAATCATTTGAAGTAAATTCAGGGGGTTCAAAATTTTATGTGGGGTCAATTTATCCTATGGTATTTTGACTACGAGGTCAATTTTCTATGTGGTATTATGATATCGGGTTCAATTTTCAGATCGAGTTATCTAATTACAATATAATAATAAACGAGCCTTTGGAAATATTTTTATTATATAAAAAAAACGAAATAATAATGCGAGCTTACACATCACCTTGCAATCAGACATAAACAATACTGGTATCATCTTATCAATAACTTAATATGTATATTGGCAAGTGGAACAGCAACCCAACGACACAGCACACCATACTATATCTAGATGCAACATATGGTCTTCATTTTATGTCAATATATTACTGTAACCACATAACTTCCCTGCAACCTCTTTGTATACTTGTATACATTCATTGATTTGAACAGATTATCTTCAAAAATGTGCTGACAGCAAGTTTGAACTTCAATAGGAAATGTATATTACATTAGAACATTTTATCTGGTATTTAAAAATCTGATAAAAAAGAACTTGAGTGATACGTATCATGTGACAAATAAAACCAATGTTAAATGACGTCAATATAGGGTCACATACATATTTAAAACAATGCCTGCTTACATAAATGTTGTTAAACAGCTGATTCCTTCAAAACCGCAGACAATGCGATTTTGATGATTTTATCCTTGTTCCGTCCAATGTGATTGGGATTTAATTTAACATGCCCTAAACTGTTTACAGATATATAAAGGGAAATAATGATAAGCAACCAAACGACTTATGTACGCTCGCTCACACACCCAAACATATAAAAACCACGTATGGATAAAACGAGATGTGTGAAGTACAGCAATGAGACTGCAAACCAACTACAAAAATAACTAAACGACATCTAGAGGGCGACACACAGTTTTCAATGATAGACAGGTGTCTTACTCTATACAATATTTCATGCCTTAATCGTCCCGAGTCTATAAAAGTTGGGAATGAATTTGACGGAAAATAGCAACATCCAATGCGTCAAATACTTGATATACTTGAGGGTCTTATAGTGAGGGGGCTTTCAATGCTGTATTCTTTAATATTTTAAACCATTTTCTCTATTCTTTATAAATTTTCCCTATTCTGTATTATTTAATTTTTAAGCCGTTTTTCTCGATCCCTTATAAATGTTGCCAATTTTTCTCTACTCTTTTTATTTTATAAACCCCATTATTCTGTATTTTTTGTTGCCTATTTTTACTCTATTCTTTATCTTTTTGCACGTTTTTCTGTAG